GTCTGATCCCTCTGTCCTTTTCCCTTAGATCACAGAGAGATGCTAAAACAAGACAGGTCTTGTGGCCTCTGGTATGTTGCCAGCTAAACATATGATGGTGAATCTGATTAGTTCCACCAGGAAACCCTGTACAGTGTCACCCAGTGCAGGGTTGATCATTTGTTTGATGTGGTTGGATTTTAGTCATGTGAACCCACCTGCTGATCCTGTTGGGAAGGACAAGGCAGCATTATGAACCACAGATTCGTTTATCCAGAGAAGTTCTACTCCAGTAACCCTAACTGGTGGAATGTTGTCCTCATGTGGAGCCCTGGGTGGGTGTTTGTCCCTTAGGGCTTGAGCTGTTGTGTCATCTCTGTCAGCAATAGAGCCCTCACTCGTGATGTCTCTTATTGTGCCTATAGTGTTTCCTTCTTCTATTTTCTTGGTGACTGTTACTCCGATTTTCGATGTCTCGGATACGCCACTGTTGCTCTTCCTTCAATGGGTGTTTCTCGCACGAATGGGAAGGCGCACCTGGTTGTCCTGCCTGGGAAAATCGTTTATGGCTTTGATTACTGAGGCAGCTAAGGTTTTGTCTCTCCTTACAGGGGTGGCTAGACATATGTTGCCAAACATTAGGAGGTTGTGCTATGCTTGGGTCGTTCCAGGAGAGTCGTTGACCTTTCTCAGGAGGGCGGATAGTATGGCTGCTGCATGGGGGCGGGCTGCTTTGGAGATGTGTTGTAAGGTTCTGGCCGATGTCGTTTTGATAGCTTCTAATAGGTTATCTGTCGAAATGAAGCTACGGAAGGGGTTTTTATCTGGCGGACGGTGTGGTCTCTTAATTAGTGATCTCCCCGGGTGGACGCAGAGCACCCGAACACCTGGTTCGCCTTGTAAATGTTTGCGCACTTGAATATCACTCGACCAGATATAGCATATCCCGTCACACACCTGAAATCTGCCTTGTCTATCCCTGCTTGATTGCTCCTCTTGGCCTGGAGAAGTCTGGCTATCTGTTGAGACCTGTGACATGGGCGGGCGCTGGGCGGGAGGGAGGACGACGGGTGGAGGCTGGAATAATGGTTAGCTGGTCATGGCACTTACCACTCAGATGAGGGGAGTCTGGGTATCTGTTACGACATGTGCCATATCTATATGACTGGTGGAACAGGCTGGTATTTTGTTACCCACCAATACAATGGGTGGGTATACACCTACAAGGCAATAGGTGTGTGGCCCGGTGGTACCTGCATCATACCTGGTTGATGGGGTTCTGGGAGTTCTTCTACTCCCCAAGCCCGGCCCGAGGCCAGGCTTGACTTGTGAGAGTTTGGTCCACCAGGCTGTTGCTTGGAGCGGCCCGCAGGCCCACATATTCACCACGGCCCGGTTGGTCCGGCACTTCATGAAGAAAACTATCCTAGTTTTCTTTTAGAGATGTCCACGGCTGTTCCGGCAATATTTCTTATACTCGCTGGGAGGATGTTGAACAACCGTGGACCTCTGATGTTTATACAGGGTTCTCTGATTGTGCCTATGGCACCCCTGCTCTTCACTGGTTCTATTTTGCATTTTCCTCTATATCGTTTATTCCAGTATGTTGTTATTTTACTGAGTAGATTTGGGACCTGGCCCTCCGGTAGTTTCCGCGTGTATATTATTTGATATCTCTCTCGTCTCCTTTCTAGTGAGTACATTTGGAGAGCTTTAAAACGATCCAAATAATTTAGGTGCTTTATCGCGTCTATGTATGCCATATTAAAGGGGGAAGTGAGTACTGAGCAGTACTCAAGACGGGGCAGCACAAGTGATTTGAAGAGTACAACCATTGTAATGGGATCCCTGGATTTGAAAGTTCTCGTAATCCATCCTATCATTTTTCTGGCTGACGCAATATTTGCTTGGTTATGCTCCCTGAACGTTAGGTCGTCAGACATAATTATTCCCAAATCCTTTACATTCTGCTTTCCTACTATGGGTGGGTGGTGTGGACACATGGGAGCCGCCTGGGAACTGTGGCAAGGTGGCCAAGTGGGTGGCCAAGGTATCGTGGTGGGGTGAGGTGGGGCAGTAGGGGAGGCGGGGCTTGGTGGGGGGTCAGGGTGACACTAACACTATTATAATTTCTCCGTATATCACAGCACAATAATGAATATTTTTTTATTTATATACAAGAGTTCTTACTTTTTTTGTACAGTTACTAGTACGCGTAGCGTTTCGGGCAGGTCCTTAATCCTAATTTTACCCCGGAATACGACCCGCCAAATCGTCTAACAACCAGGTACCCATTCACTGCTGGGTGAACAGACGGCTACAGTTAGGGATTGGCGCCCAGTCAATCCTCCCCGGCCAGAACACGAACCCAGGCCAAAGCGCTAGTGAAGTGCCGGGCAAGTGTTTTACCACTGCGCCACGAGGACTAAGAAGCTATGTTATATCAGTTACCGAGGACAACCCAACTTTTCAACGAAACTTTAAAAAAAAAGAAAGAAAAAAACAGTCGTTGGCACACGGGTGACCCTTCCCCCACCTCTTCCCTGACCACACAACACCACCCCCCCACCTCCCCCCTCACCACACAACACCCCCCCCACCTCCCCCCTCACCACACAACACCCCCACCATTTTAGTGGTCCAAAGTTGTCTCATTTAAAGGTCACATATTGTTAAGTGACATCAATAATAAGGCGCCTGATAAGTTAATCAGGCTGAAATTACTTGGCTTTTAAATATTTTTTGAGTTATTTTTCGTGCTTAAATAGTGAAGTGAAGTTAGTTGAAACCTCCAAATTACCGTGGTAAATATAAGTTATTATATTGGTGTTAGTTAAGTTATTATATTAGTTAAGGTGAAACTATTATTTGTTAACAGATCAAAACGGTTATTTTTTATTTTTGACACTTCGGACTCACCGAGAAGTTTGCTACTTGGAAGTTTTTTTCCGAGTAGCTGAATCTAAAACAACAAACAACAGGAGTTAAGCTTGAAGTTTACTTTAAAATTAATGTTGCTTTTAGAATGAAACACAGAAATCTGGGTCACGCTCCGTCTCTGTCAGCCTTGATGGCTACGAAGGACGTGTCTGGTGAAGGGATTTACCTGGTGTCTCTGATGAGTATTCCCAGGGCTATCTTAAACTGTATTAATGACGTTGTCTAGACGCCTTCAACAGGTAAACTGTCTCGTTGGTTAGAATACTTTTATACACGAACTTCACTGCTCTTGCTCACAAAACAAAGAAAGAATTTTGAAAGACATCAATGACAGAGATGTGATCCCTAAAGACATTTTAACCAGAAGATTAGAGTTCGCAATTTACTGCAAAACGTATCTTAAGACACCAGTGTCGTCTATACCATTACGTGCCCATCTGAGAACTGCATCCTAACGATCTCAATATATAGGCAAGACAGCAACATCTCTCTTTAAGACATCTGACTGCGTAAATAATAAGACTCTTATGAGAGACAACCCACATTGTTTCGACACACAAACATATACATCCTGACTAGCATCTTCAAAATATTCAATACACACTACGACAATAGAAGATTAGACATAGCCGACGTACTACATATCAAACACTCGTCCAACAGTCAGCTTTCTCTTAGGAACCTTTATGTAGACCAAAATAGAACATCATCTTTACACCAGAAGTCGCTCTTTCTCTGTGGCTGTTGCTCTCTTCTAGGAGTATTAATGTGGATTCATTGATATCATCTATAGCTATTATTAGGGCGCTGTTATCTTCCGTTGATGTTGTTGATGCTCTGAAGGTGACCCTTGAGCGTCAAAGCAACTGTATCAATGGGTATTTCCTAGACTTCAACAAGGTGTTTTGATTACTCAAGTGTTGGTTAGAGGTGTTATGATTAACCAGGTGCTGGTTAACAGGTGCGACGACCGGAAGCCCTGATAGGAGTTCGGGGGTTGGGGTGGGGGGGAGGAAGGGGGGACTTTACCGCTGGGGTAAAGACGCAGAAGGTGAATGAGAGAGAGAAAGAGAGAGAGAGAGAGAGAGAGAGAGGCAGGCGTTTTGTTGCCCACAGCTGTCCCAGGAGCCCTTTTGTGGTCCAAAGCTGTCCCAAGAACCGCTTAGTGGACCACAACTGAGTCAGGACCAATTTAGTGACGAGAACTGTGCCAGGAACCAATTACATGTCCACAGTTCCACTAGGAGCCATTTAGTGATCCAAGCTGTCCCACGAGCCATTTTTATTTAGTTCATAGTTGCCCCAAGAGACGTTTAGTGGTCCGCATATATCCTATATGAGCCCATTTAGTTGCCCACATCTACTCCAGGAAAAGATTAGTTAGCCACATCATTCTTGGGAGCCGTTTTAGTCGGCCACTGGTTCCATAACACATTTAGTGACCCCACACCTGTTCCAGGAGCTAGTTAGCGAACAACAGTTGTCCTCGGCGCAGTTTAGTGGCCCACAGCTGTTGCAGTTGTCTTCTAGATTAACATTATCACTACACTGACCAAGACACAGACCAGCAACTGCTCCGTCAATCCTCTACTTCTGGAGAGAAGTGTGACCTGAACTTCTCACTCTATTCTAAGACGAATGTTTCTTTTTCGTAAGGAATTTAGGTTTCAGACAATTGTTCAATGCTAATAATTTTTTTTAATATGTAGATATGTTTCACAAAGCAAGTCAATTACAATGTTATTATGTATACATTTTAAATTAACAATGGTTGAAAATTTGTCTCTCTGATTCACTACTCTTGTGTATGAATACTTCTTTTAAGTTAATATATATTTTTGATGTTTGGATTGAATTACAGTTGTCAGTATATGACATTATGTAAAGGTACAAAGTATTCATCAGAAACTCCAAGAATTACAATATTTGAGACCTAATAAATAAATAAATAAATAAATAAATAAATAAATAAATTTTATATATATATTATATATATATATATATATATATATATATATATATATATATATATATATATATATATATATATATATATATATATATATATATATATATATATATATATATATAATATTTGTGTGTGCATGTGTGATACGCCAGAATATATATTAAATTGACATGGAAAAGCTTTAATTATTCTTTTCCATTTAGTGGAAAGTTTAATGTTGAACATTGCAATAAATAATTATTTTAGGCCAAAGTATTCTTTCAACATCACTTACTGATGTCTTAAACAAATTCCTCTATTGTCAGGCTGTTCTCCTTAACCATTTGCGGTCTTGCAGCATGAGCACTTCATGTTGTGGGCGGCCCTCCAGAGAGCGCAGATGAGGATGAGGAGGACGATGCCGAGGGAAGCGATGAATGTTACCAGACCCAGCAGCGCGGCCAAGTAAGTCCGGTTCTCTTCGTCAACTGTGTGTAAGTGTAATGTTAACATTCTGGTGGGGAGCTGATCTGTCAACATTTTACAAATACACTTCCCTGAATTGTTTATAAGCGCTATGGTAAATTATTATATTTATGAAACGTGTCTTGTTTACCGTGAATTTGTCAAATTTCAAAAAAAAGGCAAATTTCCAAAATGTCGTTCTGTCAGTATTACCACACATTTGATACGAAAGCATTGTAAATTTTGTTTTCGCAAGGGAAATTTTGAGTTTAAATATCTAACTAATATCTCGACTAAGCTGCTTAATAGAACAGCGCTGTGGGGTATCGTGGCAGCAAAATGAGGAGCAAGGAATTATTATTTGACCTTTTTCGTGTTGTGAATAAATTAATATGACTGTTAAACATGCCGTCCCAAATATCAAATTAGTAAGAGTTTGAGAACAGAGTGATAAAGAACAGAGTTTAAGAGTGATGAAGGATTTGGGATGACATATTCGATAAGAAACGATATATCATAAGGTGAGATGGGCATTGTGAGGAGAAAGAGAAAACTAATGAGTAGGAATCATATTCACCTCACCCAACACATCCTAAACTCACTTTCATCGTTATAGCAGCATTTGTGGGTCGCCGGAGTGGTGCTGCCACGCCTCAAGCGGTTCAACTCCTCTATCTCCAGTGGTGACGCCCCTGATGACAATAACACATGTGAAGAAACCAATATTTACGTGGCCAACACTGTTTTGAACACTTGCAGGGATAAGTGGACACTAGGAATGAGCTACTACAAACAATGATAATATTATTAATAATAATGAGAGCACGGGAAGAGCTGTTGTTGTGACCACCAGTAAACACTCACCGCCATTGACGGAAGGTTCCAGGAGCGGCTGGGATCTGGCAGTCTCCTGTAAGACACTCTAAGTTAGTGCACATATGATAGCTTTACTCTAGTTATATCCTCACGTCTTGCAAATGAGTGTATATGCTCAAGGAGATGCGACGCTGATCGCACTCAACATGCTGTTATGGGTCAATTTTTTGTGGTCCTCAGAAGCACCGAATTCTGCGGTGGTAAAATACACACACACACACACACACACACACACACACACACACACACACACACACACACACACACACACACACACACACACACACACACACACACGCGCGCGCGCGTGCAGAGGCTACCTACTCACCAGAGCACCATCTTCAGGCAGGTTTGAGATGCTACGTTTCCTATAGAGGGAGAGTAGAACAGATTAGTTTCAAGATGCCAAACGTTGGCTACTGTGGTCGGCCATATTGCAACTCTCTTCCATGGGACTTAAATCGTTTAGAGAAAATATCAATTCTTACATGAATTTTTCAAGACCATTTTATTTATGCTATTAGATCAAGACATTTGAATGATATTAGATTTCATTTGGAAATGTCATTGGTCTGTATACTGTTAGGTTGAATGATAAATGTTTAGAACGTTGCACACACACACACAGTCTATCCTGCCCAGTCTACCAAACACCGGAGGGCCCCTTCTCTTACCTCTCCGTAGGGTCGTGTTGTTCCAGAGGGAGGGGATGGGGACCCTCAGCACTTTTTACCTCTGGGGAGGAGCCCAACACGGGCCCCGAGCACCACCAACCTTTAACACAAGCACATGTATATTTTAACATACTAGACACGTGGATTTTATGGACAGGAAATATTTGTGGGGGACAAAGATAAGTGGAAGATATGATTAAAGCATGTATCATTATGTTAATTTATATTTGTGATGCTGTGTGTCCATGTTCGATCTATACACATGTATACATATACACATATGTATACATCAGTGCATATGTATACATCAGTGCATATGTATACTCCAGTGCATATGTATATCGCTGCATATATATTCATATGTGCATTTATATGCATCCGTTTGATTAATATAATGTAGAAGGCATTTTGACTCCAGATTGCTAAAACTGGGACTGAAATAATACAAGAAAAGACGATTAAAATATACTTTGTAAAATGAACGAAAGACCGAGAGATGCAGTTTAATACTGACAAGTGTAAGGTTCTGCGCTAAGCTAACGATAGCAGATTTAAGAGATATCAGCTGGAGAATGTTGAAAGTGCCGATCCTGCTTACGAGTAGGATCCGAGTCAAGTTTAATAGAAATCTGAAGCAAAAAAACCTGTATATATAGGGTAATGTCACTCATATCTCTATACGTCTTCATTCCTGTATTAGAATACTCACCAATAGCGAAGATGACACATGTCAGGAACACCTGCAGAAATAAATCCAATTATAATATTTATCTACTTCTACAAAAACCAAAATCTATTTCTAAATTGCAAATAAATAGTTTGTACAAAGCATCTAACGCTTCCAAGACCCATTTATGCCTCAAATGGATGTATTTAGGGGAAAGACTTTCTCTTCCAGCTATAGGTAGCGTCCTAAGGTCAAGACTTGCTTATGTTTGGTAGTTAGACAATGGTGATCCTAGATCGATGTAGTTTAATGCGTCTTGCAGTCGGCAAATGGCGCTCTTCTATGTCAATATGGTGATAAGGAACATAAAGAAGGTGACGAGGAGAGTCAATATGGTGATAGAGATTCAAGATGGTGAAGTGGGAAGAGACAAATGGAAGGGAAGGTGGCAGACACATAAGATGTGGGTGGGGGTGTGAGGTAGCAAAGAGTATTAATCATACATCACCTGTGAGTTGATCATTGCTGAGATGAAGAAGAGACTGGCTGCTTAGCAGGAAGAGAAGACTGGCTGCTTAGCAGGAAGAGAAGACTGGCTGCTTAGCAGGAAGAGAAGGCTGGCGCAGTACCTGTGGAGTCCTGGTGTCTGTAGCCTCTGGTAGTCGATATCTCTGAGCTCCCCAACAAGAGTGGTGGAGAACGAGGGTCTCGGGCCGGTTATATGGGCGTCCAGAGTATCTTCGTGTGAGCCATCAATGTGGATCATCTAAGATGAATGATCTCATGCTCTGACATAACCCGGATACTCATGCTATGCAATTTGATAGATCGGGGGTCATTCGCTCCTTATGTAAATTTCAATTTATATCTATAGTTTTTCTATCGCAAATACATATGTGTATATATATGTGCTACCTCACTCCCACTGTTTTGTGTGTAAATAATGAAAATTCTATACACAATCATAATTCATACACTGGTCTGATGAGTTTTATAATATGGAACAATGTTTTAGGGGATTGGAATGCTTTCGATAAGATCTAATTGCCAGTTATGTCATCGGGAGGTTGACGCTCTCTTGGGTAACAACACGAAACATGCCAAATTAGCATCAAGATAGAGGAATGTTCCCAATTTTCGCGGGGGAGTGAATATTGGATGTGGATGATCATGGCATTATAGGTAACAATATAATATAATATTGTTAGCTATACTGGGTGAATAAAGTGAATAGCAATATATGTAAACAGATGAGCAGATTCTCTAGCACTCCAGGTTAAACAGGATCAGGTGATGATTAGTACAGAGTTGAGGCAATGATACGGACTAGGGTCACCGCCCCCTCCCACGCCTCAGCCACCAAGGTTCATACTGTCCGACAACTTTGGTGGATCCCTTCATAAAGTAGTCGTTGGTAGTAACCAAGCAGCACGTGAGAAAGTGTACAGGAGACCGGGATACCACGAGCGTAGCTCTCGTCTTGTAACCACAGTTTGGTAATGAAACGAATTACTGTAATACGGCTGTCTCATCTCTCGCAGCGCCAGCAGGAGGGCTTCAGCCTCCAGACAGCCGCTGTGGATCCCCTTCTGTAGGATCCACCTTCATGCCGTTACCAGCAGTTACCTGAGGGACGTCTGTCCGCAAGACTCCTGGGGTCAGATTCACGAAGCAGTTACGCACGAACTTACGAACCTGTACATCTTTTCTTGAGCTTTGGCGGCTTTGTTTACAATTATTAAACAGTTAATGAGCTCCGAAGCACCAGGAGGCTGTTTATAACAATAGCAAAAGTTGATTGGGAAGTTTTCATGCTTGTAACCTGTTTAATAAATGTAACCAAAGCCGTCAAAGACTGAGGAAAGATGTACACGTTCGTAAGTACTTGCGTAACTCCTTCGTGAATCCAGGTCCTTGTGTCTGGCGGGTACAGACCTGTGCAGACAAGACGGCCTCCAAGTGGCAAACTAGAGGCGGTGATTGGGTTCCCTGAAAGAACATTATTTGGCTTCGTTTTATTTTAAAGGGAACCAACACGTGAATCGCTAACACTTCCCCAAGTGGCCTCCACGGAAGCATTCCCAGTATCTGGCACAACCATCAGCTTAAAACCAGTATTTAGCGCCTCATCAGATCTCTCTCATCAGATCTACTATCGTGATATTTTGTGTATTAAACTGTTTGGACATTCAGTGACTGACACTGTGAGTGTTTTCAGGGGCTGTAGAGGCTGGTGTTTGCTCACGTCCCCACAGTCTAGCTCCGGCACTGCTGCTAAACGGTGCCTCGGTTAACAGACTCCTGAAGGTACAAGTATAAGCCTTCGAGCCATCACAGCTTTCCCGCCATAATGAGGAATAAGGTAAACAAGTGCCTGTAGCTTTTTTCATGCCACAATAAAAATTACCGGTAATTGACGACAGGTTGAAAGTAGCTTTATTAACAATAAATTCGATGAGCAAGAATATGGGACCAGGATCTGGGTTCTCTGGAGAATATATCGCATAATATTTTGATATTGTTGGCTTAATGATAATTTTCAAGGATTTTTTTTAGGCTTTTAATATTTATATTTTAATTAAGATGATTATGGCATTGTGAACTTTGTTGCTATAAGGCCGATTCATTGCATAGTTTCTTGCTAGCAAAAGAACTACATTTCATATAAAGTCAAGTAAGTCCTGCATACATTACATAAATATATACAGAGAGAGGTATACCCGGCTTCTCGGTGTATATACACTAAAAGTTTACTTCAGTCCTGAACTATGTTCAGGACTAAATTATACTTGCTGGTTGGTTACTAAGGACTAGTGGAGGTCTGAATAACCCTCCAGAGGTTGATAGCCCTTACGCCCAACACCAAAGAATGTGATGCTGACAATACAATCTTTGTTGATTATTTCTCTCTGTCTCTCTCTCTCCTGTTGTAAGTAGTATGAATGATAATACTTGTATTATTAACTTAACAAAAAAATATATATATACATATTTATTCACACAGGTGTGGCCAGGAGGCTTGGTGGTGGTGCTGGCAGGTGAGCTGGTCACTAAAACTTCAACATCTTCACCAAAAACAAAGTTGAGAATAAAAACCCATTAATGAAAGACATGAATGTAAACCGATTGTTAAGGGGAAAACAAAACGTGGTTGCGGGATGTAAACATTACTTTTAAACGTTACATGTTTAAATAACTTTTAAACCTTATATATGTTTAAATCTAAACATAGTCAAATTAGTTTTATGGGAAATAAGACAAAACTGAAATAAAATAAGGTACTTGAGTTGCCAGTCAACTGAACCTTGTGTCCCACTGTTAGCTTAATTATTCTACTGAGAACTCCCCCCTTCCCATACCCATGCTGTAATGGGGAAAGTTACTGAACCCCAATGACCATTAAGTCAGGCAATTTACATTTGTGGTGAACGTGTTACATGTAATTTTAAATTTGCGTGTCGCAGCAATGTTTGGGGCAGTGTTGACGGCCGACCAGCAGTCCAGCAGTGGTGACGGAGACCTGGTGGCTGACCAACTGGATATTCTTACTGAGTAAGCACACCCAGTAGATATATTCTCACTGTGGGGAACGACAGTGTAACACCTCATCTCAACCTATATGGTGTACAGAATGTAAACCTTGTTCCTTGTATTGACTTTCCTTCCTTTGCTTAGCCACGACAAAAAAACACACATAGACAGCTATACATATACTTACAGTATACCAAGAATATACTAGCATTATCAGAGATAGCAAAATCACCATTGTAAGCTCCTAAAGACCGCAAAAATACGTCAAATACAGGAGTGAAATTGATTTAAAAGTTATACAACCATACACTAATACAAGGGTATACCTTCCCACTCGTCGGACAGGAGACTTCACGGCCAAGAATCGCCTTCTGTCCAACTCACACTGGACAAAACAAATGTCTTCGTCGGGGAACAGTTTACTGCCAAGATCAAGGTGGGTCCTAGTCTTCATTCGTGCTTTGTGGGTATGACAGGTGTTGCTGTGACAGATGTAGGCACGTTGGCACTACTGATGCCAACGTCTGATGTAGAGCCTTAAGCTTTAGCCAGTTTTAGACTTAAGTCTGAAGCTTAAGTCAATAGGAAGCTGATTCTGTTGTGTTTCAGATTCGAGGGGCAACGCCCAAAGGAATAGTATGGAAACTTAACTTCAGTGATGGGTCCAAGGAACTCAGGGGAGAGTTCGACGGTGAGTGTACCTACTCACCTGTTCATTCTGACCTGCATTTACTCATCTGTACTTACTCACCTACACTTACTCACCTGTACTTACTCACCTACACTTACTCACATGTACTTACTCACCTGAACTTACTCGCCTGTACTTACTCACCTACACTTACTCACATGTACTTACTCACCTGTACATACTCACCTGCACATACTCACCTACACTTACTCACCTGCACATACGCACCTACACTTACTCACCTGTACATACTCACCTGCACATACTCACCTACACTTACATGTACTTACTCACCTGCACTTACTCACCTGAAGTTATCTGCACTTATCCACCTACACTTACCTACACTCACTCACCTGTACATACTCACCTGCATATACATTAGCTTCTATACCTGCCTTCTGAACATATGGTAGTTCAAGAAAGTAACTCGGTTCTCTGTTCTTATACTTATCGTATTAACATATAATACTGTGCCCTGAGTTCAACCAATTGTTTAACCCATTCCACTTAATGACACACTAACACTTAAGTTGTATCTCACAATTATGTATCTCATTTGTTGCCAATTTCAATCCACTCCCCCTATCGTTCTACTGTGCCTCCCTTTGCACTTGGTTTATTTACCAATTTCTCTTGGAATCTTGCATGTCGTTGTCATGTCCCTCCTTAATTCCCCCCATGTCCCCCAGTATGGTGAGAACCAGTTTCCCCGGTATTGTGGCTTATTATTATTACTTGTATTAGTATTATTTCTAGTATTATTGCCCTGGTTTTCCCTGGTAGATAAGCGGAGCGTTACCCGTAGCCACCGGTACTCGGCCGCGGGTGTGTACCAGGTAGAGGCTCGGGTACAGGGACTCGGCAAGCCTCACCAGTACAGGCAGACCATCCACGTCTCCAAGCAGGAGTCGCCTGGAAATACACCGGCTGGTCAGGGGTCGACTGAGGCATCATCAGCGGATGACGACTGTAAGTCTCTCAGTGTGTTCGCTGGGCTTATAGGGTAAATAACTTTTCAAGAGACAGAGAGACAGAGAGAGAGAGAGACAGAGAGAGAGAGACAGAGAGACAGAGAGAGAGAGAGAGAGAGAGAGAGAGAGAGAGAGAGAGAGAGAGAGAGAGAGAGAGAGAGAGACAGAGAGACAGAGAGAGAGAGAGACAGAGAGAGAGAGACAGAGACAGAAAGAGAGACAGGCAGGCAGACAGATACGGTGGGTTGGAATGGAGAGACTAATACATCCTTTCTTATTCTCAAAGCACTGACCCTTTGCTTTTCCTCAGCAGGAGAGAGGCCTTAACCCCAGGGGGCAAAATTACATGCAATATACAATCTTTAACATCTTTTTTTTTATCTTTAAAAGAAAGTCTTAATGAGCCGTCATTTCATTTAATGTCGATAATTCTTTGTCCACCTCATGTTCTATGTTTCTATTTGTCTTTTTTGTTCTTTTGCCAAAAGATAATTAAAATACAATCATATTATTAGAAAAAATAACATTGACTGTTTCAAAACTTCAGCAATTCTTTTGAATATTTACTGTCATTCTTGGATTAAAAAAACAAAAGAAATCTTTAATTTTCTATGCCTCACGATTCAGTATACTCTGGCTTGTGTATACATATATGTGTATGTATATTATCTGCCTTGTGTATATCTTAGCCTTCTGTCCTGTAGTCAAGAAATGGAATTGTCTGCGATTGTTTCAGTGTTAACCATTGTTTGATATACACTATAAACAAGTAACGCTCCCACAGGTCAGGAGGACAGGAGGCAGCTGAAGCATTACTACATTGGCCTGTTGGCGTTAGTCTCGTTGGTGGCTGTCCAGTGCATGGCGTTTGCTTGGTTCATACACGCCGTTACCACCAAAATACGCAGATTCACCTGTCAGTAGAAGTTGTGTCATCACCTGCCTCCCCTAAATACTAGTAAATTACCTTTCCTCGAATTATGGGGAAAGGTAATTTATTGGGGGTGTGTATCGAATTGTAGGTAATTATTCCCTAATCCCCCACCCAACCACTTGGGCTGGACGGTAGAGCGACGGTCTCGTTTCATGCAGGTCGCCGTTCAATCCCCGACCGTCCAAGTGGTTGGGCACCATTCCTTCCCTCCCCGTCCCATCCCAAATCCTTTTCCTGACCCCTTCCCAGTTGCTATATAGTTGTAATGGCTTGGCGGTTTCTCCTCAAAATTTCCTCCTCCTCCTTCCTAACCCCCCCCCCCCCACCCCCAGGAGTCAGTCATTTGTCTGCAGTTATGTAAACCTGGCATCTTGTCTCTGGATTTTACCGTAACTAGAAACCCTGTTATCTACTGCCAATTCCTTGCACCTAGTTACTATTCCTAGTTATTTACGTCTAGTTGCCTTACTCTAGAGTCGTAGATCCTTTGTCACTTGTCAATGTAGGTGCTCCTGGAGTCATAGTCACGCGAGCCAAATGTGCTGCTGTAGTTCAGTAGTTATATACAAGTATTGTTAACATCTGATACGTGATTGGGAGATATATCTCCCAGGATACATAACATGAGTGTAAATGTTACTTGTAAATGTGTATGAGTTTATAGTGAATAAAGCTTGTAAACAACATGACTGTTTCCCTGTTGATTTCTTTACCTCAAAGTAGACTGCAATATTACCAGAAAAGTTTATTAAATAATTAGATCTTAATGTTAAAAAAATAATGTTTATAAAACTTGTAATAATAATAACGAAGGTGAAGGGAAGACCCAGGAAGTGTAAGTGTATTAAAAACTATTTTATTGGATGTAACCTACATACTTTCTGAAGAACAAATCCATAAGGGCCGTGACGAGGATTCGAACCTGCGACCGGGAGCATCCCAGACACTGCCTTAATCGACTGAGTTACGACAGGGTAAAAGGGTTGAAACCGAAGTTCTACTGAACTACTGAACTACATTCTCAAGGTCCTATATACAATGTTGTGAGCATTATATAGAGTACCTTGAGAAAGGATATAATAATAATAATATCAACAATCTAGGATAAAAACCTATTATAGTTTTATCACTCCTATAATAGACTATTATTTTATCAACCCTATAAGGGGCCTGACAGCTGAGTGAACAGCGCTCGGGATTCGCAGTCCTGAGGTTCCGAGTTCGATTCCCGGTGGAGACGTAAATAAATGGGCAGAGTTCGTTTCACCCTAATGGGCCTGTTCACCTAGCAGTAAATAGGTACCTGGGAGTTAGACAGCTGCTACAGGCTGCTTTCTGGGAATGTGTAACAAAAAGGTGGCCTGGTCGAGGACCGGGCCTCGAACAGGTAATTATGAACAACAGGTAATTATGAACACAATAACGGGTATAATGGATAATAACATTATCGGGTAATTATGAACATACCCGGGGATGCTAAGACCCGAAATCATCTCAAGATAACCTCAAGATAGACACAAACTTATATATTCATTTTTTCTCATATTATTCTAATTCAGTTGACCAGACCACACACTAGAAGGTGAAGGGACGACGACGTTTCGACTTGAGAATGGTCCAGGACGGACCGAAACGTCGTCGTCCCTTCACCTTCTAGTGTGTGGTCTGGTCAACTTACTTTAGCCACGTTATTGTGACTCATCGCCTGCATATTCTAATTCAGTTAAGCAAAATGTACTCACCGGCCGTTATCTACGAGCATACATGATTTGTGACCCGTCTTACCGAGAAGACGAACTTACATATATAAGAGTTTCTTGGATTTAAGTTATCCCTCTTAGTTCATTTGAAAAAAAAAATAATACCGTAAAGCTAAAGGCATCCTTTACACTAAAACTGAAAGACACCCTTGAAGTCCTGAAAAAATACTGTTTAAATTGCCATAAAACCCTCTTTTAAGTAAACTGACTCGTAGCATAGCAGATACAAGACATAAAATCGTTTTCAATTACCCAAATACAATTAGGGAAAGGGTTTGTAGGAATAAAGTAGGAGAGGATAGTAATCCGGGAGGCGTTTTTATATATTATCTTGTTGAGAGTGTAAAGAAGTTTATGGGGGGGGGAACAGGTCGAAAACTTGAGATAAGAACTGAAGAACATAAGAAAGCATGTAGAATCATGGCTGGTAACAGTGCTGTAGCTAACCATAGTTAGTACCATTTAGGGAAAATGGGTACCATTTAGGTACCATTTAGGTACCAGTTAGTACCATTTAGGTTAGAACCATTTAGGGAAAATGATCACAATGTTATTTTCAAATAGTGTGAAATAAACTATAAAAGAAATAATATTAGAACTAGAAATGTAGTGGAAGGCGTTTTAATAAATACTCTGGATACTTCCGCTGGCAACAAAAGCTTTACTTCGGAGGACAGTTTTACTAGGAAAATGATTCTTAGTGAATTGAAAAAAGATCTCAATAAATGGATGAATTAAAGCAGTCCTATTAGCTGCGTTTCTTTGGGTATGGAGAGAGTTACGAGGGATAACATCCAGATGAACACCTCTATTAATACCATCTCCAGTTCTCAGAATAGCTGGATTACAGAAAGGACACCTGACCATAATTCCGTAGAAGACATGACCGCAGGTACATCGGCATTCGGGAATAGAGGTGACCTGGCCAAGGGGTCAAGAAGGATAACAGGACTAGACCCAGGATAGTAGCTGACTTCCGGGCTCACCATAGCCCGTGCTACTTGCAAATTTTGTTCCAGTAGCTGAATCTAAAACAGCAACAAGGGATAGCAGCTCTGGTATCAGCTATTTTTACTGGCAATGACTCGAAAGAGCCTTACGGGCTCACCATAGCCCGTGCTACATGGACACCTCGTCCTGAGTAGCTAAATCTAAAACAACAACAATCGAAAGAGCAAATCTACAAGGGCCGTGACGAGGATTCGAACCTGCGTCCGAAAGAGCCTCCACTTACAGCCTCTTCATGCCCGGGCCACCTTAAGGGAGGCTTAATCTTCATCCATCCTCATCTTCAGTTCTGCTCTTGGATTGGATTGGCGAGTTCAAGGACCCCATTCCTAGATCTCCAGAATCAGCTATTGATACAGATAATGGCTCCTAAGAGCCTCCACTTTCGGGCTCACCATAGCCCGTGCTACTTGGAACGTTTTGTTCTGAGTAGCTGTATCTAAAACAACAATAACAACAACAACATGACAGCCTCTTTAGACGTTGAGATGCGAGTCTCGTCCTAATCACACACTCAAACCTTGACAAGGCACTCAGGAGAGTGCGAAAGACTTGGTGTAAATGCTTTACACCAATTTCACATGGTTAAAACTAACGTAGAAATATAACCATACCTAACTTATCTTAACCTAATTCCTGAACATAACTAAGTCAGTAAGTCATGATCACTAAGAACTCTATATGACCCGACCAGGATTCGAACCCATGACGTCCAGGATCACCCCCAAACGTACACAGTACCTTAACCATCGCACTTATGGTCGTTTAAAAAATAGAGAATCAATAGTGTGGTGTAAAAACCAGACACATATATCCTCTCTCCACCCATTAGTGTAATTATGTTCCCTGTACTCTCTCAATCATCGCTAACTAAAAGGTTGAGCCCAGGATGCAAGTGTGTCATCTGAACATACGATTCAAATGTCAATATCTGTATGCTCCTTTTTTTATTAGCACAGTTAGGTTCATGTGCATTTGTGCAGCTGCCCTAGACTATATGCAGGGGAGTACAGAGTGTGTCAAAAAACTAGCTACGCGATGCTAAAATCCTCATCACACAGGATGGTTAGTCACACAGAGGCATGTGATCAGTTGTCAGTACTGGGAAACTCTGGGTACATTATGAGGATATCATCATGAACACAAGAGGGAATAAGTTACATAAAGCTAGCTAAAGTCGTCCCTTCAACTTCTAGTGTGTGGTCTGGTCAACTTACATAAAGCTTCGTTAACGTCTACAGACTCGTGGCAGAACATTTCACATCCACCAACTTCTTGAAAAGGGGTGTGCATAGGGGTCGACTTCCCTATGACACTCCCCATAAAATCACTAGTAATCCTACAAAATTCAATGAACGTGATTAGCTCCCGTGAATACATTCTTGAAACATATACTACTGTATTCTCAAACATATATTTATTTAAACATCATAGAGACATTGCGGCAGACCGACTGCGATATCAAATATCCATCACAACAAATATCAGTTCAAAATCCTGGCGTGTATTGGAGTCTTATTTGCATAAAGTGTGGGAGAAATAGGATCAGCTTATCTTTGATCCGTCGCCGACCTGTGGTACACGAGGCTAACTGGTGCTGATTGTATCGTAGGTGTCCCAGTAGCTCAATAACATGGATTGATGAAGATAAAGCCACTCAAGAGGTGGCCCTTTTGAGCTATTACCAGTATCAAAAGATGATACTGGAGATCTGTAGAGGCGCAACTGCACCCTGCGTGACGGGAGATGTCTCCCGGACCAAATGGTGACCAAATGGTCTCCATAACATGGGTCGAGCATCATTACGAGGGGCAGGTGGCAAGGGGAGGTAGAGATGAGGTGATAACGAAGTAGGTGGTGGGAGGGAAGGGTGATGGAGAGGGGGGGGGGGAGAGAAAGGTAGGAGGAGGAGAGGTAGGGTGAGGGAGTGAGGGAAGGGGAAGCGTGATCAGTATGCCTGCAGAGTGCCTCCCTCCAGGTGTGTCTGTAGCTCGCAGAGAGTGCCAATTTGAGTGCCAACTGGTAGAGCTATCAGTACCTCTCAGTGAAAGAAAGAGGAACAAGAGAAAGGAAGAGGAGCAAGAGAAAGGAAGAGGAGCAAGAGAAAGGAAGTAAAGGAAGATAAAAAAAAAGTGAAATAAGTAAAAGCACAAGCAACTGAAAGGTGGAAAGTACATCAAAATGGACAAGGTAATTATGAACACTAAAGTATTTACGATAAACTCAGATATTCAGAGTAAACTCAGATACTTGGAGTAATCTCAGATATTTGGCGTAAACTCAGTATTTTGAATTAAACTCAAAGTAAAGTGAACTCAGCTCTGTAAAATAAAGCTTTTACAAACTAGAATTAATCCCCCCTGTGATAAATTTGTTACTGATTAATGTTTACCTGTCTGACGTCTATCACACTCGTGTCACATTTATTTTCT